CTTTCCTTCTTTCCTTCTTTCCTTCTTTCCTTCTTTCCTTCTTTCCTTCTTTCCTTCCTCCCTCCCTCCCTCCCCCCCACCCGCCTTCTTTCCTACTGACTTACCTACCTTTCACAGTGGTTAGAATGCAGTGGTTATTGCAGGCTAATTCTACCAACTGCCAGCAGTTCGATTCTCACTGGCTCAAAGTCGGCTCAGCCTTCCGTCCTACCGAGATGGGTAAAATGAGGACCTGGATTGTTGGGGGCAAGAGGCTGACTCTGTAAACCGCTTAGAGAGTGCTCCAAAGCACTGTGAAGCGGGATATAAGTCTATTTGCTACTCCTCTTCAAGCATGCTGGCTAGGGGATTTGGGGAGTCGACAAGTCTTAAATTTGCTAAGATAGATTTCAAATTCAATATCAAATGAGGACTTCAAATGCCAGAATCCCCCACAGCCAGTACGCTTTAAGATATGCGCACTTCAACTCTCATACTGGCTGGGGAATTCTGGGAGTTGAAGTCCACCCTTCTTCCAGTTGCTAAGGTTGTGAAACCACTGCTCAAAATGCAGACGCACTCACAAAATCTGTCCTCAGGGTCACACACACTTGTCACGCATACATATTTCCATCGTTGTTGGTTAGCTTTAGAAATATTCATAGTTACAGCATGCTAAGAAATACAAATTAAAGAGACGGAAGGGACTTGAAGATCATTGAAGATGGGGTGGCCCAGCCTTCTTGGTTTCCAACGATGGGATGACACCCCTTGGATCCGTGTTGGACTCTCTAAGTGGCTTTAGGAGTTGGAGGACCACTGGATCCATGGTGCACTTCATCAGGGCGAGCCAAAGCACATTATTCAACATCGTTGACCCAGTAGAAGGTCTGGAAATAGGACTTCCGTTGGGTCTCCAGATTCTTTCTTCAGCATTTTCTGGAAAGCCCTTGAAGCTTATAGTAGAAACATTCCTTGCCCAGTTCGTATTAATAATACAAATAAAAATAATAATTAAAATGGAGCTCATCTTTTTAACTGCTGGTGGCCTGTGGGAAACTTTTGCCCAGGATGGACCAAGGGCCATCGCAACAACGACAACAGTAAGTGTAATAATTACTATAAAAGATGCAGGAGTTTGTATGGTTTTGCCCCTGAGCCCAGCCGAGTCACCTGAAGAGCCCCGAAGGGTCTCACTTGTCCTTCTCCAAAGCTTTGTCCATCCCCACAACCTGAGTCCTACCTGGCTACAAAAGACTCCAGAATGAATTCGCACAAAGAGGCAGCCCAGACCAGTTGGGAGTGGGTGGGGAAGGGGACTCTCCCAGTTCCTGAAGTGGCTTCTGAGCATCTTCAGGATCTCACTTCCACGCTGGAGGAGAAGTTGGCTTCTACGTTGGCCAAAGTCTTGGGAAGAAGGAAGGAGGGCTTCAGGAGATCCCAAGGTGGGCAGCCTGAGGCCGGGTGGCTCAGAAGGAGAGGACCTGAGTCTCAAGGGCGCTTGGCCTCCCACTTCCCCCCCAAAAAAGGTCCCAGCAAGCAGTTAGGATGAGGGCTCAGAGCTGGCTCGGACCTGGGAAACTGGCCGGGAGATGGACAAGTGTCAGACCAGGTGTCCCCGTCCATTGATGTAGATGCCGTTGGAGGTGGGCTTCGCACGGAGGGTGCCATTCTCTTGAACAAAGTGAGTCATTGCTTGCTTGATATTGTTTTCGTCATTTCGCTCTTCCTCTTCTTCTTTCTCTTTCTCCTTCTCTTTCTCCTTCTCCTCCGCCTGATCTTCTGGGACCGGAGTCGGGGGCGGCGGGGGAAGCTCAGTCTGGGTCTCGATTTCCCGGACGGTGGACAAGGTTGAGTAGCTGCGTCCCTCGGCATCTTCTCCCTGAGTGGGACAAAAGGAAGAGGGGGGTCACCCGAGGGGAAATGGGGTGGAGGGGTGGGATTGGGGCATGGGAGGAGGTCCCAACTCCAGCCACAGGAGCTCAAGCGTTGGAAACATGGCAAGCAGTCCTCGACTTATAACAGTTAGCTTAGTGATCATTTGAAGTTGCAATGGGACGGAAAAAAGGGTCTTATGGCCATTTTTCACTCTTATGAAATAGATACAGTTGTAGGTAATAGAATAACAGAGTAACCCAGTGCACTTGCAAAAAGAAAAAACAAAAAAAGAAGAAGAAAGAAGAAAGAAGAGGATGATGATGATAATAAAATAAAATAACAATAACAATAACAACAACAACAATAATAATTTCAACGACTATGGCACAAACCAGCAGTGGTAATTCCAGTGGTAATTGGCACACTGGGTGCTATTCCAAAAGCACTGGAATTACATTTAAAA